CATCCTTCTCTGTTGCTTCTTCAGGCCTCTGGGCAGGCTCTGCTTTCTAATAGTTCCTGTGAGTATTTTCTGGTTATTCTCAACATAATAAAATGGTGGCCATTGGTTTGAGAGAGAAAAGCCCATTAATAGATTTCAGTAACAAGATAATGCTGCCCTTACTTACCAGGGACACTATGTCTATTACCTAAATACATGAACAGGGTAGCCCTGGATGGCCCTGGATGGCCCATCATCATAAATATTGGAACACTCTGGATATATGACAATTATCCTTAGACCATATACCACCAACTCTCCTTGCTATGTGAAGGATGCTTTGCTTCCCATTACATTCCATCCACAACCTTCAAGAGAACACTATCTTATGGATATAAAATTATGGATGTAAAATCCCCATATGCCAACATGGACTACAAATAATCAAGAACATCATTCCAAGTAGGACCTAATAAACCTAGCCACTTTGTTCTCATACACAACTAATTCACTTATGATAAGAACATATAATTTCAAAGTTTGCCACTTTGTTCTCATACACAACTAATTCACTTATGATAAGAACATATAATTTCATGTAAGCAGTATTGCCATGGGCACACCCATAGCACCATAATACACAAACATCTTCATGGCCGAGCTGGATTATTTTTTTCTTTAACTCCTACACCCAGAAACATCTATCTGAGCTACATTGATTCTTTCTCTATAATTTGGACTTTCCGCCAGAACATTAACAACTTCCTCCTTACTATTAATCTCTGCCTGGAACTATCCACCATCCAGCTGTACAGTGGACATTCAGCACCACACTACATCGCAGAACCATTGACTGCTACTCATTCTTACATGTTTCCAGTTTCTTCTCTGAACACACTATGAATTCCATGGTTAACAGTCAACTGTCCAATACAATTGCATCTGTTCCAACTTTATTTCCCAATAAGCATTTTGCCCTGTTTTTTTTCTATTCTAACTCCACTTTCATTCAATTTTTTTCTTGCTGCTGAATCCTGGGGGCAGAATCTTCCTCTGCCCCCCATGCCCCAAATGCACTCTAGTAACACTCTAGAGCAGATCTTTGCAAACACATCGCAGCAAATTAGTGTGTCAGCTACAGTATGTAGATGTGTCGCATGAACACCATGAGAAACTTAAGACTATGTGAAATAAGAAACAAATTATATATATTTGAATATATAAATGAAGGGTTTTCATGAGATCTATTGTGTGTCCCATACATTTTGTTATTACAACTTATGTATGCGTCCCTATCTTTTATACAGGTTGGTTTAACTTCCTGTTGCAAGTAAAATGGAATGGACAGTAAATGGCTGATGTAAGCTGTTGAATCCTGTGAAACCTCTGAGGATGAGGACAAGGAATTTCTGGTTCAGCCTGGTGTTTCTGTGGAGGAAAGTGTTTTTTGAGATGATGGGAATGTTTTGGGTAGATTTGTTGTCAGGGAAACAGGCAGTGGTTTGGCCAGACATTGACTCTGAAACGAATGTGGAGGAGACAGGAGGGTTACAGATAACCCAGCGTTTACAGATCAGACAGGATAGTGTGAAACAGAGAAAGATCTCGTGTTCTCAGAGACTGAAAGATAAACAAAGAGAACACAGGTGTGAGAAAATGCCATGGGCAAGAGAGAGTATTCTTAAGGAATTGGAGTCAATGTTCAGTGGGGAGATTAACATTGGATTTTCATGAGTCAAGTTGCCTATCTTGGGAGCTTGAGTTAGGAGACTGTTCTTGCGTCTGTATCTTGTTCTCCTGTTTAAGTTCCATGCCTCCTGTCTGGATTACAACTCTTGTTTCAAGTTTCAAGCCTTTAGGATTATAGTCAAGTTCAAGTATCAAACCTTTGGATTATGGTCAGGTTCATGCTTTCAAACTTTTGGATATAATTCTAGGTTAAGTGCAACAACCCTTGGATTACAGTTTCTTGCTTTTGCCTTGAGTGATTTTTGGAATTCCTATTCATAGCCATTTTTGGAATTCCTATTCATAGTAATTGCTTTTTGTTAAACTGCTGGAAATCTAGCTCATGGATGTATTTTGAACTGTTTAATACTAGATACTCGTTTCTTAATAAACTTAAGTAGGTGGCTGAGCTGCAACATATGTAATACTGAATTACATGAACAAGTAATATGACCTGAGGAACAAGCCTTTAGGTCTGCCATTTTCCAGAGTCTCATATTTTTGAGATTTGGGGAAGAGTTTCTACACGAATACATTCTTGCTCTAGAATTCCTTGACTTCTTTCTTATACTAATGGAAATGTTAGCACTCATTCTTATACTAATGGAAATGTGAGCACTTATTCATTTCACCGCCATAGAAGAAATTGGTATAGAGGTTTCTTGGATGCCTTTAGCAGTTGACCCATCATTCATAGTTGATGATGACGATTTCATGGCTTATTCATTTCTCATCTGCTGTTCTCCCTTTTGAAATTGGAAAAAATTGTGGAATTTATTTACATGTGTTGTGGCATGTTCAGCTGCTGTATATAATGATGCAAATGAAGCGTCATCAGAATTTGTGTGTAATGTAAGCAATGACTGTCCAGTCATAGAAGATGCCAGACGGCCCTGTGGATTTTCAAGGCATTTGTGAGACCATCTTAAAAGCATATACAAATCTTGCAGGAGATGGCCCTTATTCTGAAAACTATTGGCTCATTGGAATTTTCAATGAAAATGGCTCAAGCACTAAAACATTTGGGTGGCATGAGTGTAACATTGACTCAGTTTCATCTATTTAAATGTACAGTTCAATGAGCAGAAAAACTAAAATTGTTTTTAAAGCTCATGATTTACAGTCTCTTGGAATTGTGAGTTTAGAGTCATCATAAAAAATGTTTGTACCTGCTTACTTTTGGCAGTTGTGAAGCTTCTGGTTGCTATCTGGTGGAGCCATAGATGCATCCATTTTATAATTGCTAACAGCTTACTTGTGTTTCTTACTAATATACTAATACTTACTTTATAAAATTGACTGAGCAGAAGAAGACTGTGAAATGAAAAACTTGGGCTCTGATTTTCTATCACATTTTGTTTGTTTTCATCGTTCCCTTCAGATTTAATTGATTTGGGGAGTAAGCTCTGCAAAAATTGTGTTCTTTCATTGTGGTTGAGTTTGGGCATGCTGGCAGGCAGCAGGATACAGATGTGCCTAGAGGGAGAGGCAGAGAAAGATTCTGAGACTTACCAGCTTAAACATTTATCCATTAAACATATGAATCACAGCTGAGTTCTGTATATGTCTGCTCAGGAATAACTTCTGGTGCAACAGGCCTGCAAACCACAACATAAGGGCATATATTGAAAAGCACATATCATATTTAAAGAAGAGGGTATTGATCCTCATTCGAGGAATGTTTGTAGTGTGAGAGTTGCAAGTTATGAGCTTATGGTCAATGATGGCTTTCTAAGTTCCTGAATATTGTGGAAGTATCTGGAGCTCCGGTGGTGCACTGGGTTAAAGCATTGAGCTGCTGAGCTTGTTAACCGAAAGGTCACAGGTTTGATTCCAGAGAGCGGCATGAGCTTCCACTGTCAGCCCTAGCTTCTGCCAACCTAGCAGTTCGAAAACATGCAAATGTGAGTAGATCAATAGGTACCGCTCTGGTGGGAAGGTAACGGCGCTCCATGCGGTCATGCCGGCCACATGACCTTGGAGGTGTCTATGGACAGTGCCGGCTCTTTGGCATAGAAATTGAGATGAGCACCACACCCAGAGTCAGACATGACTGGACTTAATGTCAGGGGACAACCTTTACCTTTTTTTTAATCTGAAGATTTCAGATAAAATCATTGACTTACAAACTCTATGTTGTATCACTGAACTACACCCCAACTGCCAGAAGAAAATTGTCATTTGTCTTTGGTATTGATGGTGATTGATAGGGACCTGATGGTCTTTTGGTGAATGATAATCCAAGATACTGGAACTTACGTGTTGTGACATTCTTCCCGTTGTGTAATGGCTGAATGTTGGTTTGTGCATGATTAAATTTGATCTGCAAGAAGGAATTTAAAGCTCACCTTAAACCTCCAGGACATTTTAAAAAGATGGAAGAGTAAAACATAAATAAATTGATTACTGGGGAAAGGGGTTTCGTTGCTTATGTTTGAGGTTTTGATTGTATGGTGATTGTAGGGTTTTCAAATTCCAATATTTTTTTCTTTTGTTAGTTTTATTGTATAGACCACTAGATGGCAATGTAATAGTTGTCTTTTCTGTGAAGTGTGTACAGAACAGATGTTTTCTTTTTAAAGTAGATCTGTGCAAACTCAACATTTCTATTCAATGAACACAGAAGGCTAGAAATTCTACTTTTCATCCTGTATTTCTGTAGCTACTTAAAAAAATTTCTGCATTTCATTATAACTTACTATATACCAAAATGGCACATTTTAAAGAATTTTTGATCAATTGTGCCAATTAACTTCAAGTAATTAGTGAACATATATCATATTAGATATAAATACGTACGACTATATTATCTATTAGGCTGTACAAAAGATTGATTAGAGAGAAAAATTTGTATTTCAGAATAAGCTTGCAAATTAATTCTTCTTAAACTGGAGTACAGTTAGATGTTGGGATCCATACTTTTTGGAAATTTGCACAGTTCTTTACAAAAAAGAAAATAGATGGGGAAAATATACTTTTTTTTTTTACTCTTGACCTTTCTGGTGTATGATATTCTCATCTTCTTTCAATGTCTCTGCATGTATTATGGGTTTCTACAACACATGCATCCTGTCCTGGTCACTGTGTGGTTCATTTCAGGATCTCTGTAGGTTACGTAGTTTAGGACTCATATTGGATTTTGTTTTGTGCAAACATTGAGCCTCACTCAAATTATATGAAATCTTTTGTAGACACAGGTTTTTTTAGTGCTTTATTTGAAAGTAATGTAAAATTATTTGAAGTTACGTATATTTTAACCGATTTTACCACTCTTTTGTTGATTTTTCATCAAGAGCTCATTGTGCCATTTGTTGTCAGTTTCTGGACTGGGAAGTCATAACACGGATTTAAACAGCTTTATTTCTACTCTTGGATACACTTCTGCAGATTACAATTCGAAACTCCTTGAAAATGTGAGTATATTCTACATTTGAATGTTAACTATAATGATGACAAAATATATTGTAATCCCACATATATGCTTGCCCGGTTGCCTACTGCTTTTCTAGCAAGGGTCTCCTCACCTTCCTACTGACTTTGCAGTGTGCATTGTAGCTCACTTATCAGAGTGCCTCTTTTCGTCATCTTCCCAGTCCTCAGTCTGTAGTTGTTTGAAATGTGTTACTGAAGACTGGACTAAGTGTGAATTGTCAATATCCTTAAGCTGCCTTCAGTGGCATTCATATTATGTTATACTAGCAACCCAAGCAATGAGGAGACGTGGTTGGTCAGTCACACGATAAAGAAAGTTGGCTAGCCAAAACAGTTGGTCTGGCAAAGTGCTGCCTTGTCAAAAATACACAGAAGTAGTCTCCCCTTCTAATGAATGCAGGGACAGTGAGTAGGGAGCAGCGCTTAACATTTCTCCTACCTATCCTGCCAATAGAAAGAGCATATAAAATGAACTTTCAATTTTTCAAACTTGTTTCCTCTGTGAAGCACTTGATTCAACTCCTAGGATGCCACAAAAGTTCAGTCCCAGTATGCCACAAAAGTACAGTCACCTTTTATTCCATCCCTCTTAAATTGGGCAGGTGATTGGATTGAATTCAGTCCCTCAAGGGTATTTGCTTCAATGCTTTTGAATGCAGCATAAAATCAGAGGCCAAACCCTGTTTGATTCCCATGTCTTTTTTGCCTTTCACTGAACTACAAGGAGAGGTAAGATTTTTAGCAGCCAAAATTATATTTTTCTTGCTTAAACCATCAAATCATATATTTTTTCTTGTTTAAACAATGATCAAATACTTTTGTTCACATAATGCTAAATTAGATGTCACTTCAAAATCATCTTGCTTGAGTGTATGGAGCATATGTAGTGACTAGACGTTTGCAAGGATAGCCTTGCCATATCTAACATCATATATATTGTGGTCACTGGATTTTTTCATCTAGATTTTGAAAATTATTTAAGAGAAGATAACTTTGAATCAGATTTGGCTATAACTCATTTTTAACTTTAACTATGCAAGAAGATTTCTTTATGATGAAATTGGAATAGTTAATTAAATAGTTAATCAAAGTTGGGATAGGAGAAGTTCAGAAATCTTGATTTTGCTGTTATTCCACTTCCATCAGCTCTAGCTAGCAGAGTGAGATGTTAGACATTATCAGAGTTGCAGTCCAGTGACATCTGGAAGGAAATGCTTGGCCTGCTAATGAGTTAAAGGGTTTTGAAAATATTGCACTCCAATGGGTATATATTAACCATATAGGTACCTTTTTTGAAAATGTTAAAGTCAGTGAAAAAGAATTTCAATAGAATAGGCTAAAGCTGACAATAATTCTTAGCAGGATAAATTATTTCCCTAGTACCTAATGTACCACAGTCAAAACATGTTTAGTTGCTTCTACTTAACCTTTGATTAATGTTTATTAAATATTTGATTAAACTGCTCTGACAAATTAAGACTTTTGACTGATTTAGAGACTAGTGAAATTTAGAAGACTTAGTATTTCTTCAACTGGGTCTTTCTTTGATCTCAAATCAATTAAAAGAGATTACTCCCAGATTTTCTTTTAGTATATAGGTTACAGGAAATACGTGAGTCATGAAATCCACTCAGAACTGCAAATCCAATAGGGATCTTTGAGTCCCTTTCAGGGGAGCTAAAGTGGAGTAAAAGGTAAAGGTTTCCCCGTGACATTAAGTCTAGATGTGTCCGACACTCAGAGGTGGTTCTCATTTCCATTTCTAAGCCAAAGAGCCGGTGTTTTCTGTAGACACCTCCTAGGTCATGTGGCCGGCATGACTACATGGAAAGCGGGGAATAAATAAATAAATAATAAAAATCAATGACTGATTTTTACTGAACTATCTTTCTATCAGTAATATGATATTGGCTTTATTTAACAGGTAGTCATATTTTTGGTGACAGAACTCAGAAACCAATGTAATCAATTCAACAGTCAACAAAGGTGGGTATTATTAGCTTATAATTTTAATAGTTATTTGCAGATCCTTTAGGAGATATTTGTTAATGAACAGAAAAATGCTTAATATTTAAACATTCAGGCAATATCTAATTAATTGGAATAAAAAAGGCATGGATCAGTCATTGGGTGTAAACTTGTTTTATGTTTTTGTCAGAACTTTAAATTATCAATCCTAGGTACTTATCTCTTACTGCAAATAGGTTGAGTAGTTGGATACCTCCTTTAAATTTTAGAGTAAAATCCAATGCGGATTAATCACTCCACTAAGAAGGGAACTATAAGTGGTATAAGCCAATTGAACCCTGACTTTTCTCCCTTTTCCATGTTTCAGCAGAGCTACTTGTTTATAATGTTATAATTCCATTCCGATAATGGGATTGTCTTAGTCCTTTGCTGAACCAGAATCTAGGTCCCATTTGCTCTTCTTGTCAACTCTGTAATGAAGAGAGTTCTGGTGCTTGAAGTTCATTCAAATAAATCAGGGGACCTTTACTAGTCTCGTACTCTTTCTATAATTAAGTTCCTGGATCTCCTCAACTCAATCCCTATTCCCCATGGTCACTGGTGGCTTTTGACACCACATTCTACAGTAATTGAAAGAACATTTTCCCATCCTCAAACCAATTTGAGTTAGGGTCCTCTGGAACTCATAATGTAGACATAGTATAATTTAGTATCATATTAGATTAGTATCATAATTTAGACATAGTATAATTTAGTATATTAGTATCATATTAATTTATTAATTATTTTAGTATCAGCTTAATTTTCCTACAGATAAATTATCTATTGTTCTTAAAAAAGAATCTAAAAATCAGAAAACTGGTAGGCTATTAAAATATGTACTCTGTTATAATTGAGATTAGGAGCCCCCGGTGGCACAGTGGGTTAAACCCTGTGCCAGCAGGACTGCTGACCGATAGGTAGAAGTGAGTTGAGCTCTGTCAGCTCCAGCTTGCCATGTGGGAACATGAGAGAAGCCTCCCACAAGGATGGTAAAACATCAAAATATCCGGGTGTCCCCTGGGCAACGTCCTTGCAGACGGCCAATTCTCCCACATAAGAAGTGACTTGCAGTTTCTCAAGTCACTCCTGACATGAAAAAAGGGACTAGACATGATAAATAAATCCAAAACTGCCAGTTTCTATATCTGTCTATGCTATGCTATGCTATGCTATCTCTCTATCTATCTATCTATCTATCTATCTATCTATCTATCTATCATGGAATTTTGTGCTTTAAGAGATAAGCTCTTCTTTTTTCTACAATCCAGCACTGTATCGATGTGTAACAATTTATTTATTTTGAAGCATGTGCCACATCTCTACTGCTGATATAGCTGAAATCTGTCCTGTATTTGCTATGAATATAGCCACATTGCAAATAGATGTGTTTTTGTTCTTTGCAGATATGTGTGTTTAATGAACCAATTTATGTAGAAAAATGAAAATATTGCCGGTTCACGAAACAAGATTTTATTTCTTTCTCCAGTATTTCTTCTCGAATAACATCCATGTCCCTCCTCTGCATGCCTCTCATCACTTTGCCTGATGTCATACCATTGGTTGAAGCCCTTCTTAGTTACCATGATAGTGGATCACAAGAAGTCCTCCATTCTACATTTTTAGAAGCTGTGAATGAGGCCTTGTTACAGTAAGTAACCCTCACAATGCAAGTATTCCCCTTCCCTTAAAATAGATGTTAAATTAGGAAGTTGACTGTCTACTGAAATTAATTTTTCATGCTTCACGTATCAACTACAACAAAATATATGATACAGTGATAAATTAATTTTATGGAATAACTTGTTCACTTTTAAGTATTTTTGTTTTAGTATTCTCAGATAAAAAAGTTTGCTTATTAATACTTCACCCAAAGTGTACTGCTTTCTGTTTTTTCCCCCTGGTAAATGATATACAGTTAGCCCTCTGTATCCACAGATTCTGCATTCATGGATTCAATCCATCAACCAACCAACCAAATATTTTTGAAAAAAAATCCCAAATTAAACCTTGATTTTGGTGCACGCTGAACACTATGCTAATGTATGGTCATACCCTGCTGTAGCCTTACACCACTTTACAGATCCTAAGGCTGTCTCTGGCAGTCATTTCAGTTGTTTGCCATTTTAAATAACAATTCCATTGTAATACACCACTGCATAATGGGTCTTGTGTATTCATGGATTTTGGTATCCACAAGTGGTTCTGGAACCAAAGCCCAACAAATACTGAAGACTCACTGTATAAACAAGTAAAGTCAGAAAATTCTAAGTTATATTGAGTGTGATCCCATTTGGGCTACTGTAACATTGTCTGGGGCTGCCTTTGGAAACTATACAGAATGGTCTGGCCAAAATGCCAGATGTGGTCAGTTATAGGGACTGTAGAACTACACTGGCTCCCAGCTCATTTCTGGGCACAATTCAAAGTGATGGTCATAGCCTATAAAACTATATGTTTTAGGTCCAGACTATCTGAAAGACCATTTCTCCTATATCAATCTGCCCAAACCTTGAGATTTACAGGGAGATGCTTTATCTCAGTCCCACCACCATCACAAGCTTTGTTGGTGAGGACATGAGAGCGAATCTTCACAGTGGCTGCTCCCACTCTCTGGAACTCTAGGCCTCTCTGGTTTCCTTACACTAGCAGGCAAAGACATTCCTGTTCAAGTAGGTTTTTAACATTTAGGCAGGGAATCTTTTTATAGGGTTATGTTATTCTTTCTAATCTTGTGAATTCTTAATTGTTTCGGATGTCATCTTGAGTCTTCGGCCCTTTGGGGTAGAGAAAGGCAGGATACAAATAGAGTAAATAAAAAATATCATCCTCTCAGGATAGCATAAATATGTTGATGCAGACCTTTGCTACACTGAGCCATATATTGTATTTATCATGTAACAGTCACACTTAAAAAAATATATTGCTGGCAGACATTCTGCACTGAATGTAGTCAATGGAAGAGGGTAGCTTCCTTACTGTAAACAGTCTAGCTAGTGCAGGAAAGACTACAGGTTTCCTTTATGTGTCTTTCTGCACTATATACACAACAGCTTTGCGCACACAGTGGGCTCCCCTTTCAGCTATGGCACTTCACCCACCTGCTGAAAGAGGAGTGGGCATATGAGTGAGCGAAGTACCATAGCTGAAAGGCAGTGAGCACTCAAGTGAAGCTGTCATTTTATGATGCATCATCCACCCAAACACCTGCTCCCCATTCAGTTATGGTGCTTTACTCGGCTGAGTCTAAAAACACTGGGTTGAAGTGAAGCCGGTATTGTCACTCTCTCTTCAACCCATTGCATTTGGATTCATTCAAGTGAAGCACTGTAGCTAAAAGAAGAGCAGGCTTGTTGCTTGTACTGTGCAGCAAGTAACTTGAAGAAGGAAGCCTGGAATCTTCTTCATGCTACCTAGACTGTTTACAGTAGGGAAACTGCCCTCCCTAGAGATATCAGATTGGCCACCTCCCTCTTGTCTTTTAGAAGGAAAATCAAAACCTGGTTATGGGACCAAGCGTTTCATCAGTGAGCAGCAAGTGAAAGAAGATCACACAACTTATGGCAATGAATTGACCCAGACTGGTTTTTGGATTTCGATTTTAATGGATGTGTCTTAATTAATTGTTTTAATTGTTTTTTTTTAATATTTTGATTGTACTGTGGTTGTTTTTATATGCTAGCGTCGTATGATGCTTTTGTTAGGCCGCACTGAGTTCTCCTTTGGGGGGGGGGGAAGGGCAGGGTATAAATATAAGAAATAAATAAACAAATAAATTCTTCTGCTGACTACATTCTATGCAGATTGTCTACTAACAGTACATTGGGGTGATGAATCAAGGCTGCAACAAATATGCAGGGAAAGAAAAAATACTGATTTGGGAGGCAAAAAAGGGTGTGACTATTACGCTGTGACGACTGTTACATGATGAAATACGGGTACCTTCCTACTCAGATTTATAGAAAGATCCTGGAGCTTTCCCATATGGCCAATCCATGTTTTGCAAGAAGCAGATGGGATTGGAGAAGCATCTGGCTGCATCCCCATAGCTAGATATTAAATTATTGCAGCAGTGCTGAGTCCTTCAGATGATGCCATGGATCTTAGCACTGATGCTGTCATTTCATATCCAGCAACAGGGACATAGCCAGACCCTTCTTGAAGCTTGGTTGCATACCACAAAGCACAAAATGGCCATACAGGCCAGGGTGACTTTGGTGGCTTTTTAGTAAGCGATATGAGGGGGAGGATGATTTGAACACTGCAGAGGGAGGAAGGGAATATCAACCATGACAGCACCCAATGTAAGGGTGAAATCAATAGTGATTTGTTTTAAAGGTGTTTTCCATTGTTTATTGTACTCCAGAAATACATATATTTGCCTTACAGCTCTAACATATTACACATTCCCTTTTTCTTTAATCTAGAAAAAAGATTTCATTATCAGAATCTGCTGTAGAGCAGTTATGGCTTCGCCATCTTCCTAGTCTGGAAAAAGCAGTGCTCCAGACTCTTGGAAATTTAATCTCTAGTCAGCCATGTTCAATGCAAGAAATGGCATGTCTGATAAAAGATTCCTTACTGGTAAGTTTGATACATATGCATTATTAAACTGATATAATTTTGACTTTCCTCACAGGTAATCTGTTTTATTGATCTATGTATTTTATTTGTCCATGTGTTTTAATTGTTTTATAGTTTGATGGGGTGTGTTTTTATTGTTATGTCTCTATGTGGCACTGAATCTTACCGGAGTCTGTAAGCTGCCTTGAGTCCCCTATGGGGGGTGGGTCGTATAAATGAAGTAAATGAAGTAAATAAATAAATAGAGAAGAGATATACGTTTAGGAGCAAACAGATCCTGGCACCCATGGACCTAAGTCTTGTTCTTATTTCTTATTAGAACAGACCCATTATTCAGTGGGATTTACCTATGAACTGGATTACCATTCAGTAATTGATTCAGTGGGTGTAGTGAATCAATTACTGAATTGTAATTAAAAACAAACCAGCTTCCAGCCATAGGCTACTACCAATAAACAATTGTTCTGTAGCAAGATATACATTAAATAGATGAACTAAATCTAGAGTTTCTAAAGAGCATGGTGAAAATTGCATTAGTGAAGAGCACTTTTTGTTTTTTTAAAACTAACTCTCTGGGTCTAAAGCTAACTTCTTCCCTCCCAACTGCTCCCAATTCATAACCATTGTAGTCTTCTTTCCCCAATTTCCCCGCTTTGGCCTAAATAAAGATTACATCAGTTTACTAGCTAGTTATGAGATTTCCCTAGTTTCAAGTGCTTTTATATCTGAGTTTTACAGTGATCTTACAGAGTGCTGCAAAATCTGGTAAACCAGTTATGAAACTGTTATGAGAGAAAACAGTTTGTACAGTTCAGTTTTATAAGAAGTCATTTCAGGTTGTGTTGTATATCCAGAAGGCCCTCGTATTATCAGAATCAAAAAAAAGATCAAGAGATAACCCCATAAGTTAGGCTAAAATAATGTAATGTGAAGAAAGCAGCCAGGACAATAATTGATGATATGGAAATGATTGAACATCATCAGGAGTTTGCCTGAGTGACTTAGTACGGTACATTGGCATTCTGTAAGATATAACACTGAGCAGTATACAGGACAGCAACTTTTCAAGTCTAGCTGTGTTAGTTAGAGAGTGCTGTGCTTTATTATGCAAGAAATACGATATCCAACACAGTTGTATTAGGGCTCCAAATGAAATTAAAGTGTGATGGTCTAGTAACTTCTAGTTTATATGGTGTGCTGTTACTTATGTTTCCATCCCTTGGGGAAAAATGAAATTAGTAATGGAAATTCTATGGTTACTAGGAAGTATAAAAACAAAAGATAAGTGTTACAGTGGTTGCACATGGTGAAATGACCTCTATAAATATTATTTTGCCTTTCAGGAGTTGGTAACACTTCTTCTATTTCCAGATGGTTAAAACCATGCCCCTAAAATGGAATGGTATATTATTCACCTTACCAAAGAGTTGCAGAAATGACTTGTGTAAACTGCGTGTGGGAGTTTGAGACTATAGTTTTAGCTTTTGTCAACAAGCTTTCAGACATACTTGTGCTAATGCCTAATTCACTGCAAGCATGAACTCATAAATGTAGAAATATTGTGAAAAATCCCCCGGTCTTCTTTGAATTGTTCTGTACAATAACACTTGTGCAGCTCTCGGCATCATAGAAATGTTTATATAATATCACGAGGAATTGAAAGCCTTGGTCGCTCATATCCACACCTTTTGATTTTGACTGAGCAAAAAAGTTTTGAGACCTTGATCTTGGCTACTTTGGTCCAATTCCGCATAGCCATAACCAGAATACCATGGAAGAAAATCCCACAATATCTGCTCTGAACTGGGTCATCTGAGTCCACACTGCCATATATCACAGTTCAAATCAGAAAATGTGGGATTTTTTCAGCTGTGTGGAAGGGGCCTCCAATGTCCAAAAGACTGACCTACAGTGAAGTTCTTCTGCCTAACCAGAAACAATCTATTTCCCCTAGCTTGAGCATAAGCACATATGAGAAGTAAGAAATACATATTTTAGGGTATATGCAGCATTGTGTGAATGCATGAAACATCACTTATGACAAACTCTAGAAAAGGGGTTAATGTCTTGTTTCTGATGACAACATTCCTGTCAGCAAAAGGTGTTGAAATAACACACAGAAACTGGGTTGTTGTAGGCTTTTTTGGGCTATATGGCCATGCTCTAGAAGCATTCTCCCCTGACATTTCACCTGCATCTATTGCAGGCATCTTCAGATGCCTCTTGAACCCCGAAAAAGCTACAACCCAATGATTCCGGCCATGAAAATCTTTGACAATACAAAACACAGAAATCTCTCTCTCTCTCTCTCTCTCTCTCTCTCTCTATATATATATATGTATATATATATATGTATATATATATATATATATGTATATGTGTGTGTGTGTGTGTGTATATATATATACACACACATACACACATACATATATATATCCCTCCCAATCTTGGAGTCCTTAATTAAAGCCATTGGTGTTGTCATCTTGCCCAAAGACATTTGAATAGGGAAATATAGAATAGGTATGCATCTGGTGACACAGCAATGCACTGTGTCACAGTATGTTAATGAAGTAGTTGTGTTTCTGGGTATAACATGGAAATGATAGGGATAAGTTTATACATCATAAAAAGGAAGAGCAGTTCCATATGTTTCAACAGATTTATTATTTAAAATGAACAATATGTGACTATGAAACCAACCAATCAAGTCAAATAAACTTGGAATTAGTGAACAAAACATTTGCGAACATTAGTGAACAAAAACATTTTGAATCCAGAGTCTCCTTCTCTGGAGATTTTAAAACAGAGGCTGATTGGTCATGTGTTGTGGGTGGTTTGAGTGTGTTTTTCCTCCATAGCAGGGACTTGGACTAGATGGCCCATGTGGTCTCTTCCAACTCTATGACTCTTTTATTCTAGAGACCATTGGAAATCTTCTTCAAAAATGCACCCAAGAATTACTTTTTCTTTCACCAGCTTCTATTTTTCTTACAATTTATTTTTAGAAGGCAAAGCAGGCAGATTTATGCCATTTTAACACATTGGTTTATTTGCTTTCCACCTTTTTTCCTTTTATTCTATTTGCACATGCTCAGGCAGGGATTCTAGAGGGAACCACGGCTTATTATGCCTGTTGTAGGCAAGCACACAACATAGCTACAATGGTTTGGCTCCAGTACAGCCCTGCTCCTTTCCAGGTCAAATTTTGCATTCTTCACTATAGAAATACTCCTGTATAGTAGAGTCTCACTTATCCAACATAAACTGGCTGGCAGAATGTTGGATAAGATAAAATGTTGGATAATAAGGAGGGATAAAGGAAAAGCCTATTAAATGTAAAATTACTTTATGATTTTACAAATTAAGCACCAAAACATAATGTTTTACAACAAATCAACAGGAAAAGGCAGTTCAATACATGGTAACGTTATGTAGTAATTACTATATTTATGAATTCACCACCCAAACATTGCAATGTATTGAAATACCTGTAGACTCGGGCAAACTGCAATGGATAATACAGATGAGCGAAGGCTGGATAAGCGAAACTCTGCTGTATGTGTTTTTTCAATCCTACTAATGCTAGTGCTGCTTATAACCTTCCAGCTAAACAGAGTATAGGGTGGAAAAAGGAGTTGGGCAGGCATAAAAAGGCCTTGTAAAAAGGAACTTTACTATCAGTTATTGTTGCCTGATAGTAAAGCATGTGCCTATTCATTTACTAAAGATTAGTGGTACAAGGAAATGGAGGAATAATTTTTTTTCTCTGTCTCACAGTGATTTTCAGAAACAGTTGCTGCTGGTAGTAATTCAGCATATCTGACCCCTCTTCCCTTCACAGCCTCATTGCTCACAGCAGAGTTTAGCTGAGAGTGAAAACAAATGTGCTTTTACAACTGGGTACTGGGAGAGAGGGGAACTAAAATTTTGGTTCAATTGCTGTATACACAATGCAATATGTTTAAACATGAAACTCAATCTATGCCACTTATCTGTTTAAAAAGTAGAGTGCATATGGGGTAAAATGTAGGAACAGGGGGAAATGCCAGGCTTAGGCTCACTGAAATAAAGTCACATCTCGCTGTGTGCAGATTTTGTCAGATTCCTTGTGGGCTTCCTTTGATCTAGATTCCATTAATGCTGTGTATTACTGAAGAGATTTTCTGTCTTCTGTTAAGAGCCCTCTGAACACGTAAACAGTTACCATAACATTCAAAGTTGAAAACTTGAGTGTTTGAGTGCTTGAGACTACGCTTAAATTCTTCTAATAGAATCTAAACAATGGAACTGACACAGTGAAATACGAGACAGAAATTGAAAAAAGAGCCCCGGGATGTCAATCTGTTACTAAGTAAAACCGTTATTGATTTATTCTCTAAATTACTAGATTCAGGTTTGAAAATGAATCTGATCTTGCAGAGCCTGCAAACTAAAAATCTACAGGGCCTCAATGAATCTTATTTCTTTTCTTTTTTCCCCATATCTGTATCTTCTTTCCCTCAAGTTCAAATTCTCAGAATTGTATTTAAACCTCAGAACACTCTGAGATAGTTTAGTGTGAAAGTTCAAGGCCACAATATGGGTCAAGGAAATACCATTCCATTACATGTTAACCTCAGCAAGTTGAAAATCACCCTACCTGCCTAGGTTCAAACTACAGGAAAAGAGATTCCACCTAAGCATTAGGAAAATCCTCGTGATAATAAGATCTATTTGGCAGTGGAATATGCTGCCTCAGAGCAAGGTGGAGCCTCCTCCCCTGGAGGTTTTTAAGCAGAGGCTGGATGGCCATCTGTCAGGAGTGCTTGGTTGTCTGTTCCTGCATAGCAAGGGGTTGGACTGGATGGCCCCTGTGGTGTCTTCCAACTCATTCTGTGACTCCCTCTTCCTTGTATCATTATATGAAAATGAATACATCGGATGAGGCTGCTGTTTTGAAATAAATACTCTATAAGGTTACCACTGTCCCTTCTTCTTCACTGTCATTTTACCTGTATCCAGCCAATTCTCTTTAAAATCATAGGAATTTGCAGACCATAGTCTGCAACAAGTTGTATGTTGTTTCCCATAAATATGTAAGATACCATCAGCTGTGAATACTCATGAACACTAGGTGGCACACATTTAATATAGCAACTTAAAAACAACTACCTATGTGGCCGAAATTCGGGGAATGAAGCATGAAAATGAGGTGCCATTTAATCCTTTTGATATGATAGTGACATTTAAGGAAATATTAGAAGATATTTGCAGTAATTTTAGTCTCTTCTCATTTCCCCCTATACATTCTGTAGGAAGTTGCAAAAGGTATCCAGCATACCTCTTAATTTATGTATTATTGACCAGAAGCGACTTGCAGTTTCTCAAATCACTCCTGATAAAAAAACAAAACTGTGAAGCTTGCTTTGACACATGGATTTTACTTTATGTTTTGAGTGCATGCAATAGTATTTTTTTAACTTGAAGACTAGCTGAAGCATTTCTCTTCTTCCAGAGCCCCAAGTTCGTGCATGTGGTTGTAAAGTCTTTTTGGAAATACATTAACACATCTTTTCAACTTAAAGCTAAACAACATTAGAACATTTATTTTCCAGTTATATCTTTAAAAGGAAATAAACTTAGCAACAAGCAGGATCAGGTTTTGTCGAAGGCTTTCATGGCTGGAATCACTAGGTTCTTGTAGGTTTTTTCGGGCTATAGGGCCATGTTCTAGAGGCATTTCTCCTGACGTTTCGCCTGCATCTATGGCAAGCATCCTCAGAGGTAGTGAGGTCTGTTTCCAACAGACCTCACTACCTCTGAGCATGCTTGCCATAGATGCAGGCAAAACGTCAGGAGAAATGCCTCTAGAACATGGCCCTATAGCCCGAAAAAACCTACAAGAACCTAAGATCAGGTTTCTTTCTGTATGGTAAAAGTTAGCATCTTGGTGAAATGTTGATGTTGATCAGCAATTACTCTTCTTTGCGGTCTCTGTGGCTCACATATATGGATCATTTTGTGTCTGTGTAAAGATGTTTGGAAGCCTCTAGTACTGTTATGTTCGTGCAACACACGTACAGATTGCAGCCAATACACCAGTGTGTCGCAACACAGTTTAGAAAGCTCTGGTGTAGATTGGGGGACACATATTTCAGTTTTGGACAGTCAGGCATGTTGTCTTCTTTGCCTGGATGAGGATCATGCAGTTGATTATGCCCATTTTGAAAGACCTTTACATGGCAAGTAAAACATAACAGAGCTTCTGGTCTTAAAGGTTTCCAGTGGGAAGGGGCTCTTGAAGCTTTGGCTCTTGCAGCCTTGAAGAAGTTGCTTCTTATAGCTACAGTAATGATCTGCTCACACCCATTTTTGCTCATGGAACATGAGTCGGAGCATTCAATCAGCCAGACCCCCTTCAGATCCTCTTCAATCATGTAGCAAAATTCAGATATTGCCAAAGTGACACAGTTTGGATCTTCCAAGAGTGGCTGACAAGGAGGGGGTGTAAGATTGACGTATGGCCTGCAAAACATATTCCATGGCAACTCTGTATTCTCCCTCAAAATAGAAAATTATCAGATGTATATGGGGGGTGGGGAGGATAGGCTATCAGCAGTTCCTGTAGGAACAGGTTGTCTCCCTAATGGAACACCTGTTGGGTGATGATAGGAAATTGACTTTGCTTTTTCACTCTGGAAACTGGAGGTTCGGCAGAATGCACCAGACCGTCTTGCAAAGACTATGGCCAATGCCACTGCTCATTGTAACCATGCCTGGCTATCGTCCACAAGTCTAGTCCACAGTGCAAAGTCTATAACTGAAGTCATCCCATATAATAAATAATTTGTAGTAATTCTTTGGAGAAAAGTAGGATAATTCTCTCAATAGCGATGATGATCGTACAAGGCCATCCCAGCAGCATTGTACCTGAGGAGAACAGAACAGGTGTCTATAAGGGACAAAGCACTTTGATGCATGAATGTAAGTATAGTCAGCCCTCCACATTTGCTGGATTAGGGGCACAAGACCCTCACAAAGGTGAAAAACTGTAAATGAGAAAAAACAACAACCTTTTTTTAACCTAAGAGAATACATCTCAGGTAAATCTTCTTTCTAGGAATCTCTAGGTTCCCCAGAGCAAGTCTATGGTCAACTTCAGTTGGAAGTTGAGCACAGAGTAATGCTGGAGGACTAGAGATTCCTAGAGAAAACATTTTAATCAATAATCACCCCTGAAAAGTCAGACCCCCAAATGTAGAGGGCCAGCTGGAGAAGCAATCAGGAAAACATAATGAAGAAATCTTATTAAGAAATCCCTGTCCAGTGCAAGAAGGGCACTTGATAGGACAGGGTTTTTTGTCCCCAATGCCTTTTATGTGAATTGGTCTAAATCAGTGAAAATTCTATTTCTTGTAAGAATTTTTGTTCATTTATACATGACAAGAAATATTTTGTCTTTTGTTCTTGTAATTATTAATCATGCTTACTTCATGTCACTGTCAGCCTGACACTTTCCTTTTAAATCGCTCAATTTTAGGAGAAAAGTGGCACCTGTTAGCAGTTGTGCTAAGGCAGCACTAAGAATAACATAAAGTGGTGTTATTATCTATTTTTGTATCTTTAAGAGTTTGATATAAGTTTCGTCTGAACTAAACCTTTTTGTTCCCATGTTATTTTCAACAGGATCGTGCTATATGTCATCCAGCTATCTTCAGAACAGCTGATGAAATTTTGAAGTATGGTTGCTTTCAATTCATGGGGGAAGGTTTTATTTTTGTACTTTTCTGTCTTTTAAATGTGGGGATCTATCTTGTGGCATGCTTGCCTTAATTATTATGAATTTTTTTCATATTAAGAATGGGATTCACAGAACCATATTCATTGTTAACCCCCACTGTTGTCAAAGCTTAATACAAGGTATTCAGCATTTAATGGTGGGAAAAAGTTGTCTGTCCTCAAGGAACATACACAGCACACATGTTTTATAACAATGCAGTATAATTGTCCAACCTCTCAATGCCCCAAAATTTCCAAATCCATTTCTGTTTACAATAAGTATTTGCATTAAATAACAAAGGTGCTAGATTCAGGCTCTTTAAAAGCCATAAGAGTTAAAATTATCACCACCATGAGCAGCTTAAAATCTTTAGTGCCTTAATACCAGTGTCTCTCATGAAAGCTACTCTTTATCTGCTGGCTCTTTCAAATTCTTGAAAAAAAATTACTGACATTAAAAATTAGGATTGAAATACATAGGCATTTAATGTTTCATTTAAAACAGGGGTCCCGAACGAAGGCCTGTGGGCCAAATGTGGCCCTCCAAAGTCAATTTCCGGGCCCCTCCCTACACTTTAGATTTAGGGTCACCCTAAGTCTGAAACGACTTGAAGGCACACAACAACAACAATCCTAATTCACTTGACTATCCCAACAGCTAAAAGCAGGCCCACATTTCCTATTGAAATACTGTGTTGGTTTAAATTGTTCTTCATTTTAAATATTGTATTGTTATTTTGTGTTTTTTTGCACTACAAATGAGATATGTGCAGTGTCCATAAGAATTTGTTCATGTTTTTTTTTCAAACTGTAGCCCGATCACCCAAGTGTTTTAGGAACCGTGAACCGGCCACTGGCTTAAAATGCTTGAGGAACCCTGATTTAAAACATTACATGCCCATTTTAAATAAATTGTTTATTAAAATGGAACTTCACATTATAGTTAAAGATCCTTTTGATCAGCAGTCCTGCTCCCATGTGTAAAATGAACAAAGATAATAGTCTGTTAGTACCTTCAGAATGATTTTTCATGCTACTCTTCTTGTAGGAAAAAAATAGTCTTCTTATTATAACATTATAACTATTGTCGAAACTAATTATGGTAATTTCAATTAGTTCTTCTATCAATGTTGTAAATATTTGGGTTTTATTTTTAATAAAATTACATATAATGAAAAATGGTAAAAGCCTATGAATGCCGTTGAATCTCAGAAAGTTGGGAAGAGTAATGAAAATACCAGTGTGTTTTGCTAGGGGTTTGATAGTTATGTTATAATAATAATAAATGTTAAGCAGTGTTCGTCACTTACCACATGGTGGCTACAAACCCTTTTTTGCCTTCTTTCACAGACTGATTTCTCATGTAGGATTTACTTCTATGCCATTTTTTTTAAATATATACCTAGTTGTAAACAACTGGATTATATCTGTTTTAGATAAAAAATAATCATAATTTATAACTGACAGCTGATCTACCGCTTTTTTCGTGTCATGAGCGACTTGAGAAACTGCAAGTCACTCCTGGTTTGAGAGAATTGGCTGTCTGCAAGGACATTGCCCTGGGAACGCCTGGATGTTTGATGTTTTACCATCCTTGCGGGAGGCTTCTCTCATGTCCCCACATGGGGAGATGGAGCTGACAGAAGGAGCTCATCTGCACTCTCCCTGCATTTGAACCTGCTACCTGTCGGTCTTCAGTCCTGCCGGCACAGGGATTTAACCCACTGTGCCACTGGGGGCTCCTTGATCAAACTGATCTACAGTTTGAGGAAAGGATGTTTTTAAAAATTCATCTTCTCCTGAAAAACACTTTAAATTGTAGAATTTGGAAGTCAGAGGTCAATGACAGAACATTCACAGACAAAAAATATGACTCTAATTTTGAATTATCTTGGATATAGCCAATTTGCAATAATCTTCAGAATCCCCCAAATAGCATGCCTTTACCATGTTGACTGAGTAGCCCAACTGATTGTGCCGTACATACGAAGGTTATCTGGAAATTAAGATTACAAGATTTTTAAAAAATGCAATGAATGAATATATTTTAATAAAACTTACATGGATTGTAGCATAGCTATTACCTTATTTTTTCCAAATAATCACCATTCAGTTCAAAACATTTTGTCATCTGTGGGACAAGTTTTTGATGCCTGTGTCATGGAAGTTTCCCTCTGCCTTTTTTAGCCAGTTTGTCACTTTGATTTTCACCTCGTCATCATAGGAAAAATGTTTTCCAACAAGGTGTTCCTTCAATTTAGTGAATAGATGATAGTCACTGGGTGCAAGATCAGGGCTGTGAGAGAGGTGGCTTAAAACACCCCAACCAAATGAAGTGTTGCATGAGCGGTGTGCAAACGCGCATTGTCATGAAGGAGACAGACTCCTGCCGTCAGCATCCCACGATGTTTGTTTTGGATGGCTCTGCGAAGTTTATTCATGGCCTCACAATATAGTCTGTACCCATTTTGTCACATGCTGTCTTAATATTACATCCTCTCCATAAATTGAAATGATTTCGCGATGAATTGCAGCGGCATTCATGCCCTTAGCATCTAGCTAGCATATTACAGCACGAACTTTGCACTTGGAGGGAAACGGAATGAGGACACTCATCTCTAACCTTCACCACAACACTGCTGACAACTGGCACTGCTCGTTCGCTTCCGCTGCTTTCCCACCACATGGCGGTGATACCAACTTCCCCTGAGAAAATTCGCTCCAAGAGCTACGTGCCTTGTAACCTTACTTTTCAGATAACCCTCATTGTAGGGATTAGGGGGAAAAGAAGGCATATGGAGACAATTTGTGAAACGTCTGTAGATCCATCCAGAAACATTCTGCTCCTCAGGAATACAACACATAACCCAGTGAAATTTCCCACTTTCCTCTCTCACCATTCTTCCCTCAAAGTTCAATTAATTACATGCCACATGTTCGTGTGAGAATTTATATCCAAGAAACCTAAGTATGTTAATAACCAGGTATTGTGTTTACAGTTGTAGCTGGAGGGTTTGCCGTTGCCAAAAACAATGTTGATGTAAGATTGAGATGGGATTTGTTATAACAGCAAGGATAGTGTAGAAAGGTATTCTTATTCAAAAGAAAAGGAAAAGCAAAGTGCGTGCATTCTCCATTTCCCGACTTGGCATAATAGCTGGATGAGTTAAGGCCTCAGCTCAAGGCATGAGGAAAATGCTCCAATTTGTGGGTGTTTTTCTCCCCATTCACTCAATTAATGGTTGTGTGATTGGCACGCTCATAATCTGACCTGTCATAATTAAACTTTTCATTGCTCAGGAATGCACTGCTGGAAACTGATGGAGCACCAGAAGTAATGACTGTAATGCAGGTGTTTACACAGTGCTTTGTTCAGGCTTACCATGAGAATAACAAGCAGGTTAGTAAAGTTCCATTTTCTTCTTTTTTTTCAAAAGATCCATTTTAGTTATAGAATGCTTGTCTACCTCTATCTATCTATCTATCTATCTATCTATCTATCTATCTATCTGTCTATCTAGAGAGGGAGAGAAAGAGAGAGCGAGAGCTAAATAATATCTTTCTGCTACAGCAAATGGATGCCAGCATAAATGTGAACATCTTAAAAGGTGTCAAATGAAAGTATGTATAGAGCCTTTTTTTCAATCTAGAAGATGATCATTGTAATCTGTCTAGTGTATTCCGTCCACTACCACATCAAATTTGTTTTAGTGTTGAAGAAGTGTTACAGTAGCTTCATCTGTGCTTGCATAATCCACAGGCATCCTTGCTGTTGATGTCTACAGCTGTCTAGTTGACTCAGACTCATGGCGATCTTGTGAATGGGAGATCTCCAAGTCACCTTTTGAGCCCTGCTCAGATCTTGCAGGCTCAGGATTCTGACTTCTTTGACAGCATCTGTCCATCTGGAATGCACTCTTCCTCTATTTCCTACCATCTTCTACCTTATCAAGCTTTTTTGTCTTCTCATGATACCGCTAAAGTACAACAGTCTCAGTTTGGTCATCTTGGCTTCTGGGCAGTGGGAGTTAAGGATTAATTTGTTCTAGAACCTATTTATTTGTCTTTTTAACACTCCGCAGTATCCATAGAACTCACTTTCAGTACCACATTTCAAATGATTGAATTTTTTTCTAACCAGTTTTCTTCACTGTTCAACTTCCACAATCATCATCATAATAATATAATAATAATACAACTTTATTTATACCCCGCTACCATCTCCCCAAGGGACTTGGTGCAGCTTACATGAGACCAAGCCCACAGCACATCAATAAACAAAAGCAATTAACAAAAGCAATCAATACAATACAATTAATAGAAATCACACAAACAAAAAGCAATAAACAATAAACTGTAATACACAACATTTAAAAACCTATTTTAAATGTAATAATTTTAAAAATAATGCTGGTCATGAACAAGGTAGGATATAACGGATAGAGTTTTCAAAGAGAGATGAGGGAACGCAGTCAGTCCTAAATCAGTGGTAAAGTGCATTTTGAGGGCATATTGCTAAGGGTTTTCCTTATTCTGGGAAGACACACTCGAACAACCATACATAGAAACTAAAAATATGAAGGCACAGACAATCATAATTTTAGTGTCCATGGTATATCTTTATACTTTGGCATTCTTACTAGTCATTCATCTGGAGAAAAATCACACATTTACATTTATATTTGTTCTACTCCTCAGGTCTTTAAAAATAATCTCTTTTTGGCCCCAGAGTTTGAATGCCCCTTCCCTGCCATGGATTTGTACATGGAAAAACCACACTGGAGTTTATTGACAATGCTTTTGGATCTGAGGGTCCTCATATCTTATAACATCTGATTCTTCCTACTAGTTTTTACATATATGCAGTATACAGTATGGCTCCCATGCATTCTGAGACCCCCATACCTGAAACTGTTGATAACAGGGAACCCTATGTTATGACTAGAGTTAGAAACATGCCACAGAAATGCATTGGAAGGGTCGGAGAAGCCTACAAACACTTTCAAGGAGAAATGTGTTTTGGAGTGTGGCTAGGTGAAATCACAGATATCGAATCCATGGATAAAAAGGTTGTAATTTGTGCACACACACTTATTAGAATAATAGAATCATAAAGTTGGAAGAGACCACATGTGCCATCCAGCCCAACTCCCTGCCATTAAGGAAAACACAATTAGAGCACTCTTGGCACATGGCCATTCAGCCTCTGCTTTAAAACTTCCAGAGAAGGAAACTCCACCACAGATATAGCATATTCCACTGTCAAACAGCTCTTCTTTTGTCATCAAGTCTTTTCTTACTTTTGGCGCCACTAAGGTGACCCTATCACAGGGTTTTCTGGGTCTGAGAGTATGTGACTCCCTCAAGGTAATCCCGTGGATTTCCATGGCCAAGTGAGGAATCAAACCATTAGTTCATAGTTCAGTGCTCTACACACACACACACTCCTGTCTGATGTACTGCTTCTTCTCAACCTGAAGAGGTTACCCTTTTGCTGGCTTTGCAGGTGGGGATTTTGGGAACTGGAATCCAAAACAGTAGCATTTCAGTTTTTTCAATAGTGAGGCTTCCACATAGGGTAGAGAGGGGTAGGGGACTACTTGTTAGTTAAACGAGAGTTCTTCCTTTTGGAATTGGTGTTATAATTTACTCTAATTAGCATTGTGATTAAATCTCTCATTTAATTTCAAGAGCATGAATTAGGGTATGAAATTAGATCAGTCTAAGTTAATATGTACAGATGCCATGCCTATTAATTCCTCTGTTTACATGCCAACAACACATTTTGCAGCCTGAGGGTGGTGGGGGTGATTGGGTGGAGGACTTAAGCTGAGATCACACACCCTTCACATAGCTAGGAGCCAACTATGTTGTAGAAGTTATTTACATGCTCTGTTGTTAAGCTGTTTTTAAAATATTAACGAAATCTCCAGTATTTTATTTGTGTATGCTTTCGTCTCCACCGTTATGAACAAAGAACTTGGGTGTTGGTTTGGAATTCAGGCTGGCTGGAATGCCTTCCGTCATTTCATTGTGTGTGTACCTTCTGAGCTCCACCAACTCTGTGTTGTTAATGGAGACTGCCGAATACTCAGGTGTTCTGCAAACCAGGAATAGTCTGTGTGGACTCTTATGAGGGAACCACATAGCAAAGTTCCCAGCAGTATTTGGGGGATTGGAGGGGGGGCAGTTCATACAGCAGGAATAAAAATACTTCTGTGGTCACTCTATGTAATGGAATGATTTCATAGGCTTTGTGTGCATGTGTTATATTTATTTAATCAAAGGTTCTGAATTGGCTCTCTCTGAGAGCTTCTGAGCAGCATGTATGTTTAGCGCACATACTTCAAAGCACCATGAAAGATAAAGAGAGGTTGGCAGGGCAGCCGGATGGCAGAAGCAATCACCACCCTCTAATTGTGTCCCATAAAGGCACTTTTCTTTTACATTCCCATGGCATCCCTCCTCAAACTGAAGATCCAAAGGCTAGGGTGATAAACTCTCAGTGCCCTAAAGCCAATGGACTCTGTAGTTTATTTCCTGGCCTTCTAGGAAAGAGCAGTAACAGCAGGCAAATTCCATTCCTTGTTCTATTTTTGCCTTATAATTCAAATACTTTTTTAAAAAGTGGGGTTTGTGTGACAGCAAAAGAGGAAAATATTATCTCATAAGGTATCATATTTGCTGTGTGGTATTTAAAAATCTTGGCTTAAATACCTGAAAAACATCAAATCCTGTCTGATCTTGGAAGCTAATCAGGGCCAGCTCTGGGTAGTCCTTGAATGGGAGATCACCAATTAATACCAAGTGCTGTAGGAAGGGACTAGAAGTTGATAGGCAACTTGAAGGCACATATACACATTTCAAATCCTCCAATGGCCCTGATTTTGGTGCAATCTTTTGGCAGGATTTAGCTGATTCCTGGATTACCCCTGTCCCATTTAAAAGCGTGTTTAATTGCCTTTAACTGTGAACTGCCTGTGAAAGCCTGGATTCTAAAGTCTGGGATATTTTTCTTTCCCTCTTCCCCTTTTTACTTATAACCAGGAACCTATAGGTTTTACCCTATAAAGCTCTAAATGGTTCCACCCCATTTTACCTGTCAGAATGTATCTCCCTCTATGAACCACCTTGGAGGTTAAGATCTTTCAGGGAGGCCCTACTCTCAGTCCCACCTCCTTTGCAAGCGTGACTGGTGGGGACGAGAGAAGAGACCTTCTCAGAGTTGGTCCTTCGGCTGTGGACCTCCCCCTCGAGTGAAATTAGATTAGCTCCCTCCCTCCTGACCTTCAGAAAGAAATTAAAAACATGGTTGTGGTACCAAGCCTTTGTACAATAATCCTCAGTGCAATAAGTGAATATGGAATAGTGCAGTTTATGACTAGAATGGCTCCTGGACTATGCTTTTGGATTGCATGATTTAATAATTGGTTTTAAGGCTGAGATGTTTTAACTTTTTGGTTTTAATGTATATGTTTTATTTTACTGTATGTTTGTATATGCGGCATTGACTTGTGCCTTCTTTTAAGCCGCTCTGAGTTCCCTTCGGGGTGAGAAGAGTGGTGTATAAATATAGTAAATAAATAAACAAACCCTCCCTGCATGGAACTTTACTTCATTTGGCCAAAGATATTTAAGAGACCCTTAGATCAGAGGTGCAAGCTTCTGGAATCAAAATCCCTTGGAGAGTAAGAGAGCATAAAGCTCATCAAATACATCCTACAGCTTCATCCTCTGTAGTAGAATTCAGTCATTGAGATAGTTCGGCTTCTTTCTGGGATACTTTTGCTTTGGCAATGTGTTTTCTTTTTTGATTTTTTTGTGATTTGCCCTGGCAAAATAAGTTACACAATGCAAAATAAGTATATCTTTTTTTCACCCTCTTCTCAATGCATGTCTAAATCCTGTAAGTCTTCTCCTGCCATGTAGCTTTTCAAGCGCCCCAGGATCCAAACATTTCTTCCAGTTCCAAAGAAATTGTTTGAATTGTGCAAAACAAAGCCCTCAAGTTGACTGCGTGTCTCTAGTTATTGAATTGGTATGTAAATTGGGTGTGCCTATGTAGACAAATACCTTCCATGTTGCCTCTGTTTTTAATTTGAGATTTCTTTTTTTGTTCATCTATTCTCCAAATCTCAATTTCTCTGTATTTTTTTATTCTTTGTGAATTTAGGATCTTCCTGCACAGAGGTGTGGCTATAGAGGGTGTGTGTGACAGCAACCCCCTCCCCAAAGAGTGCTGTCTTTCCAGTGAAATGCTCCTTTAGTCCCCAAATGACCAGTGTTGCAGTAAAGTAAAATGTTACTTGAGTGTTTAGAAGTACTCTAAGAAACCAATAGGCTGAGCAAGAGCACTGGCCAACACACATTTTGGTAACTCAGATGTTTCTGGGTATATTAGGCCTGTTGATTCCAAAAATTGCACCAGTTTTCTCCTATCAGTTTTAGTTTTTGAGATACAGAGCATATGCCATATGTCACTCTTCACTCTGCTTGCCCATAAAAACATGATAACTGTATATAAGAAACTAGAGCTGATTCAGTTTATCCAGTGCAGTTTTCTGAATCAGGCAAGGTCCTCATCTCTCTCTTAATCTCTACAGCCATTTCTATTTTACCTGTTCCCCTTCCCCTTTTAACTCCAGTTCCCCCTTCTTCCATGCATCTGAGCATTCTCCATCTGATATTTTTTTACCTTTTTTGATCTTTGTATCTGGGTTTTCCCCAGACGATTGTCTTACTGTTCCTTTGCTATATGGCATTCATATTCAGACACAAGTCAGAAAGATGAAGTGAAGATGGCTTGGGGGCATATGAGGCAGCAGCTTTGCAAAAGCTATGTTATGTACCTTCAAGTCAACTCTGACTTACGGCAAACATATCCTAGGGTTTCTTGGAAAGGTTTCTTGGAAGGCTGTTGCCTTCCTCCAAGGCTGAGAGAGAGAGAGTCACCCTGTGGATTTCCATGGATGAGCAAGGACTAGGACACAGCCCTCAGAGTCTTACTCCACCTTTCAGCTCACTATGCCACTCTCACGTATGTTTTGTGTCTTTTCATATTGACAAAGTATTGTTAGTAATGCTATTTATTATTAGTGAAATTTCAGTGCCACAGAGGTACAAAGTAGCTGAGAGAAGACTTTCTGCTAAAGGGTATTTACTTTATTTTACCTCGCCTTTCTCCTGATGTACAGACTCATAAGCTTGCCAGCTGTGAGTACTATATACTAGATCTCAGGGTGGTCATCATTAGGTGGTTCATCTCAGGCAGCAAAAGGTCTTGAAGGCCCCTGTTTTCCTTGTTTTCGGAGTCTCCATTTCTCCCTTACATTTTACAATAAAACACTAATCCCATCAGCATAAGGAAAAGCTTCAGTGGACATAACATATGCATTATTTTCTTGAATTTACCACAGAATTATAAAATGGGGATTTCTACTGTTAACTGCCTGGCTTTTTCACACACAGGAAGTAAAAAGCAGAGAGACTGAAGAATCCAGTGTGAGATGAGACTTTAGTCACCAGACCATTTTTATTTCATTTTCCTCAGATGAGCTCCCTCTATCAGCTCCAGCTCCTCATGCGGGGACATGAGAGAAGCCTCCCACAAGGATGATAAAAAACATCAAATCATCCAGGCGTCCTCTGGGCAACGTCCTTGCAGACGGCCAATTCTCGCACACCAGGAGTCACTCCTGACACGACCAAAAAAAAAGAAAAAAGACTAGCAATGGCAAAAGTTCTTTGCATTCGGGTCTGGGGGCTGATTTATCTTTTCTTACCATGAGCACAGCCTCTTGCCATTCCCAAACTTCTGTTATCTATGTTTGCCAGTAGTCTGTGAACATTTGGTTTAGCCTTGGATACAAATTAGATGTATTCTGTAATGGAACTATTTTATGCAAACAAACATCAATTCATAACAGAATCCCTCTTTTGAATGCAATATTCCTGCTTCTTGGCAGGGGGTTGGACTGGATGGCCCATGAGGTCTCTTCCAACTCTTTGATTCTATGATTCTATGATTCAAATTGCTTAAAAACGGATAGGTCATTGACAAAAATGGAGAATTAGCAATCCTTAGGCTGTTGATCTACATGCTGCCTCTGAGCAAAACGCCAGTTCAGATGGGTTTTGTTAGGAATTTCTAATCCTCAGATCATGTAAGGAGGCCAGAGCAATACTTGGCAGAATTCTCACATGAAATTAATCATGTCTGAAATGGTATTGGGCTGAGTTGTGCTGGAAGTTCTTTATTTAAAAAACCAGAAAATCTACGCCAGTAAAAACTGTGTGGTCTTTTCTCCCCATATAGAACAAAGTGTGACAGTATTCATCTTACTATTCTTTAGTTTAGTTAAATATTGAATTTATGAAGACCTATGTTGGAAATGTTACTTTTCAGATAATAACTCCCAGAATCACCCAGTACTCCTGCCCGTTGGCTGTGTCAGCCAGAAAATTTGAGGAGTTGTAATCAAAAATATTTTTACACCAATTTCACGGGAGGGGTTTGTGCCCTGTTTCTCCTAGTATTATAAAAGGAAGCAACATATTTTTCTCCTGAATTTCAATAGTTTACATGGCTATTAAACCAAAGAGTAACCAACAGAATGTGGCTATCCTGTTTGATTATGCACCAGTTCTATAAATGCTACAGAATGAGATTGTTTGTGCCATTGTGTTTCATTATTCCTTTAGAAGTTGGACCTTATATAACATTTTGTTGTTTGCCATCCACCAAACATACAAGAGCTTCTGTGAAATGGTTTTCACCATTCTCAATAATATCTTTCATTTGCAAACTTGGCTGAATTGCTGCTTGTTCTGGTTTCAAATAATCCATTACTAAGTCAACTAATTTGGTCCCAATATGGAACCGTAGGAATTCTATTACCTATTTCCCATTCCTACAAGAATAGGAAATAGGCAACTGTGTGACTGTCGGACTAGGATTCTGGAGACCAGTGTTTGGATGCCCACCTGGCCATTAAAACCACTGGGTGACCTTGAGTAAGTAACATTCAGCCTGAGAGAAACCTCTCCTGAACAAATCTTGTTAAGAAACCTTGTGATAGGGTCACCGTAGGTCTGAAATGTCTTGAAGGCACACAGCGACTTCAATTCCTAATATTACAGAAGAACTGTTGTCTGGTTCCATGACTATTTTACATCTATGGAAGCCTTTGTATGGTGTTTTGTCAAAGGGTTCTTGAAGTGTCATTTTTATGGTCTGTTCTACATGACCATCTTTATGCATTTCTTATTACTCTCAAAGGATTCTAGAAGTTCGATGAGGAACTTCTGAGATTGTAAGAGAACAGCCAGTAGTTCGGTTTTTCTTTTCTTAAATAGAGTGAATGTATTTTCTAGTATATTTGCATATTTGTATATTTTCTGACATGACAGGCTTTATGAATTGAACTAGTTTTCTTTTTATGTTTTGGTAATAAATCACTAAAATTTTCTTTCAAATATTAACTTCATTTTAGCATAAGTTTCCGTTGAAGGCCTACTTTCCTCAAAATCCGCGTTCACTTGTGATGGCTCTTTTTAAAGATCCAACAGGTACGTTTACCCTTTTCCATATTCTCAGATCCATCAGGATCATGGCCACTACATCTAAAAATCATCTGTTATGTTAAAATATTCAGTTAATCCAAAATAGTGTATTTGTCACCATCAGTTTTTAAACAACTTGTGTTAATGTTAATCTTCCAGACATATCAGCTAAAGGCTTGCATCAGCATTTGAACCACATTGCTGAAATACTCAAAACAACAGTAGAAGCTAAGGGCGCCAGGTAAGCAACAGTAATTAAGTTTTATTTTTTTTGCTTTGTTTTCTTTTCATTTCAAAAGTGTCCCTTTGTTTCAGACATCTTTGTTGTCTTAATGTAATGTCTTTAGAGTTCTTTTGTTACTTGTATCCCTCAGCACAGAACATTTATGAAATAAAACTGTTGTATTTTAAATGTCAATGAAAGACTTAGTATCCCAACCCAGCAAAGGTTTTGTTTTGTTGTATTTCTTTTTGTTTGTTAGGTGTAGCAGTACAAGGATCTTCCTATTAGTTTCAGTAAATATAATCTGTATTCAAGAGGATAGATGGTGTACCAGTTGTTCCTTTAAATCCTACAGTGCTCCATTTATCATTGAAGCATGAATAGGAACTTTCCATTATTTGGGCTATGGTTTCTATAGGTTAGGCTGGCATTATAATCTGTCATGTTCATTAAAACTCTTTTTTCAGCTTGCCAGTAGATTTCTTAATTTTGTAGTCATGTTACAAAGATGTTGCAAATGAAAAATATAACTGGGTAATATTTTCTTGCTCACATCTCTGTATCAGAGATTTAAGCCCCCAAACCATGAAACCATTCATAGTATTATTCTAAATCACATATTCAATAACAGTCAAGCTACAAGACAGAATGTTTGCTTTTCTTGGATTATTCATTTCAAAGTCAGAATAAAATCTCTAGTTTCAGATGGCATGAAGATTGCAATTTAAAAAATGTCTTCAGTGTTTGTAGACACTTTTCTCTCTCTGTCATGTCTAAGTGTATGCTGGAAATTAATTGGTGGATGCCCCATTATTCCTAAGTTACCCCTTTTCCCATAGGAAGCTACATTATATCACCACTATTGTGGTGCCTCTTCTGCACATAAATGTTTTGCCAGTCTTCATAACTTCCAATTCATCACATTTTGGAAACCTTTGATGAAATTTAAAATTATAATGAATGGCAAAGCTGAAATACGTTTTGGTGATGTTCCAGGTCTTGTGGCAACCTCTTTCAGAACTGGTTTTTGTTCGTACATTTTGGAGAATGGGTCGATATCGCAGCAGAGCAGTTGGTGGTGTCACAATGTGAATCCTCAGGTGCTTTGCTGTGGCTTTTGGTATTTTACTATGAACCAAGTGATGAGAATCAGCGGAGGACTCAAACAATGGTGGGTAGTTCAAGTCCTTAACATTTTCTCTCTCTCTGTTTCCCTATCTCTCCCTATGCACACGTGTGAGGTTTTGATGTAGAAGGGCCTGTTTGGCCACGACCTATAGAGAATGCTTTCAGAAGAGATCATTCCTAATTAAGTCTCTTATGTTGCTGATATTTCCAATCCCCAAGGTTTTCTTTTTATTGAGCATTATGTAGGCCAAAGCAACTCAGCAGTGGCGCAGAGGACAAGAACATTTGTGAGGCTGTGAATAAAATGTCGGTGGTGCAATTATGCATAAAATAAGATAAAACAAAAAGGTCTATTTGGTCAGCTTAGTCTGTTCCTTTGCCAGTTGCCGCTCAAGAATAATTCAATGACAAGATTTTATAGCACTTGACAGCCTCATGGTATGAACATGCGTTTGAAACTTTGAGCGGAGAAAAGTCTTCCTTCAGAAATTTAGTTAATTGTACCATCTCAGTAATGCTTTTCAGTGTCATGCTGATCTCGTGGCAAGGGAGCTACAGTTCACTCCCTGGACATTCTGACTTCTATTTACTACTGATTTGTGTGTGTGTGTGTGTGTGTGTGTGTGTGTGTGTCAGGAGTGACTTCAGATACTGCAAGCCGTTTCTGGTTTGAGAGAATTAGCCATCTGCAAGGATGTTGCCCAAGGGGCGCCCGGATGTTTGGCGTTTTACCATCCTTGTGGAAGACTTCACTCATGGCCCCACATGGGTAGCTGGAGCTGACAGAGGGAGCTCAACCCGCTCTCCTCTAATTTGAACTGCTGACCTATTGGTTAGCAGTCCTGCCGGCACAAGGGTTTAACCCATTGCACCACCGGGGGCTCCATTTACTGCTGATAACACGTTTCATATAAATGTTTGTGTGTCTGTCTATCTAGCTATCTATCCTGCTTTTCAATCCAGAAAGATCCCTAATGGTGAGTTACATTAAAAATAAATCAGATACAATTAGAATAGGGATGATTCTGTCCTCAAACATCTGCCAATGCTGTGTGGTGATGTATTATCCTGACCCTATCTCCTGATAAAGAGCAGCATTTGCTTTACTCCCCTACAGGATAGAACATGGAAAAGTTATTTTGTTAGACTGCAATTCTGGAACACCAGAGTTGCAGTCTGGAGGCTCCATTTACTCAATTTACTGCTGATAACACATTTAATATAAATGTGTGTGTATCTATGTATTCTGCTTTTCAAACCAGAAAGATTCCTAATGGTGAATTATATTAAAAATAAATCAGATACAATTAGAATGCGGATAGTTCTATCTTCAAACATCTGCCATTGCTGTGGTGATGTGTTCTCCTGATGCTATCTCCTGATAAAGAGCAGCATTTGCTTTACTCCCCTACAGGACAGAACATGGAGCAGAGAGCCATAGAATTAGATACAGTAACAAACATGTCTTGTAGAGCAGGAGAGTGATGGCAATTTGAATTTCCTTTGCTTGGCCATGTGCTTCCTCAAAGGATGGTACATCTCAACCAAGATCCTTGTGAGAGAGGTTTCTTCTTGTCTTCACTAGGAAATGAGACCCCTAGAGATTATCTACTGTCACTGCCCAGTGATTTAAGTGCTCTTTATTTGTAACTCAGTGGAAAAATACTGAAACTTCGCTTGGACTTCCTTCCCCTTTGTCATGGCAAGGATTTTCCCTCTCCCCTTCCTTGAGGGAAAATAATCCTATACTACGTCTGCATACAGACAAAAGCCAAGAGAAGGCCCATGAAAGAGTGGAAAGAAAAAAATCTTTTTATTCTAAGCAAGCTATCTATATTAGCAAAAAGGTCTCTTTTATCTGAAGGCCTTTCCTTCCAGCACACTTGGAAAAGTTTTAAAACTGTCAAAAGTCATATTCAAGGTTACAAAAAAACCATAGTTTCCCTAAAATGTCTAAACTAAAACCTTTTCCTATTTATATTCACAAAACAAATGGGTGTTCATGGGTCTTTGATGTTCATGGCAATGCTTGTGCTAGGAAATCTGGGGGACCTCCTTGTGTGGATGAAGGACACTTAAAACTACTAGCGTAACTTGTTATTGCATGCACACTATGTCACAAGGATCCAGGCCATTAGGTGTATTGCGGTAGTTTCTCTGTGTATCACCAGTGCTTTGTACAAATCAGTGCTGAACAGGAATGACTTCTATGAAAAGCAGGTGTTGTGCTATAAGCAGCAGAAAATGCTGGGAGATTAAAACCTGGATTTCTGTTGGTAAAAATGATATATAAAGCATAGACATCTCAAAATAATGGCACCATCTGGAAATTTTAATTGTCACTTCCTATATTTCCTGAGCCCTCTTAGTTAAAATGCTGCCAGGGATGCTGTTTGTACCTTTAATTTCTATAGTCACTCATGTCCCAACTTGACTTTTTCCCCCCAGTAAGTATTCTCTCCTCTTACAGTTTTCTCCACTTGCAAAACAGACACTTGAGAAAGTAAAGATAAGATCTCTTTTAACTATGTGATGTTTGAGGCAGCTTCCACAGTGGGAAGACGCATATTAAATCTTTAAGCAGGAAAAAGGAAGTATGAAATTAAAACCATGGACTACATTGGTATTAGAGAATATATTACTTTTTAAATACATATACAATTTTGGGGAGAGAGAAGACGTAAAAGTCACACAGTCCTTCAACTCCTTGTAATAACTATTTCTTTGGAATGATTGAGCTACTGTATCAAGCACATCAAATAAAATCAAGCACATTGGGTCAGTTTTAAACATGTATCCATTTAATTTATCAAGAAGAACAAAGTACAGTATAATATACTGTATCTTGCCAAGAATACATTCCCAAACATTGTTGTGGAAACAGGAAACCATGGCGAATGAGAGTTTCCCCAGAGTTGTCCTGGGGTACCCAGAAAATTAATAGAAAAGTATCCTCTCTATGTATTTATGACATCCTCCAAAGTAATTATGTGGTAACCTCAGGCAGAAGCATGCCATAGAATTCCCTGGAGGGTCTAGAATATTCCTAGAGAGGACATTTTTGTCTGATGCAAGTACAGAGGTAGTGCTGTAATGGCATGTGAATCCAGACACACGGGAGGGAGTATCTCCAAACCTTTCCCTACCTCCAAAACCTTTATTTCTAAAAGCCAGCTCCTGTTAAAGGTCTGTTCCAGGTACTGCAGTGCAAACACTCCAGTGTTACCAATACTGGTTTAATCTTTTGGACTGGCTAGTCCACCACTCTTCTTGCATGGGGCTCCTCCCCCTCATGGTTGCTGTTGCCCAGTTGCCTGGTCTTTAATCATTACTTAGTGAGAAAGGGAAGGTTGAATGGGATCTTGTTTCTTACGACCTCTCTCCCATCACTATTTTGTTTATTACACTGGGTAAGTGAAAACATCAATACGGAACAGAGGAGCAGGAGAACAACTAGGGTTTTCTGGGGTTGGCCATAAATCCCCCTGCTGCTGTTTGGGTCTTCAGAGAGCCAACCATGTTTATCCTTGTGCTTGCTTCTCATGGTAGCCAAAGCACGATAGCTGGCGATCCTGGAGAGGAATGCTGTGCAAAAAAGTATCTTGTCCAAGATTAATGAATGCAGGCAGGACCCAAGTTACAAAGTCAGATGACTTACAGATGACTCATAATTAAGAACAGGGGCAAGACAAGAAAAAAGTGAGAGAAATCTACCCCTAGGAAGGGAAAACCACTCCTAAAAGAGTTATTCTGGGGAAAAGGTGCCTCAACTGAAGCTTTCTCACCAATCATTGTTCCCACAACTAGCCACTTTTTTAAAATCCAATTATCACGAGGACAGAAAGTGAGGGGATATCTTCTGAACAGGCAATAAGACAGCAAAAGGGGTGTTAACCCTTCCCTAGAATCATAGAATCATAGAATCAAAGAGTTGGAAGAGACCTCATGGGCCATCCAGTCCAACCCCCTGCCAAGAAGCAGGAATATTGCATTCAAATCACCCCTGACAGATGGCCATCCAGCCTCTGTTTAAAAGCTTTCAAAGAAGGAGCCTCCACCACACTCCGGGGCAGAGAGTTCCACTGCTGAAGGGCTCTCACAGTCAGGAAGTTCTTCCTCATGTTCAGATGGAATCTCCTCTCTTGTAGTTTGAAGCCATTGTTCCGCGTCCTAGTCTCCAGGGAAGCAGAAAACAAGCTTGCTCCCTCCTCCCTGTGGCTTCCCCTCACATATTTATACATGGCTATCATATCTCCTCTCAGCCTTCTCTTCTCAGGCTAAACATGCCCAGCTCTTTAAGCCGCTCCTCATAGAGCTTGTTCTCCAGACCTTATCATTTTAGTCGCCTCCTCTGGACACATTCCAGCTTGTCAATATCTCTCTTGAATTGTGGTGCCCAGAATTGGACACAATATTCCAGATGTGGTCTAACCAAAGCAGAATAGAGGGGTAGCATTACTTCCTTAGATCTAGACACTATGCTCCTATTGATGCAGGCCAAAATCACATTGGCTTTTTTTGCCGCCACATCACATTGTTGGCGCATGTTTAACTTGTTGTCCACGAGGACTCCAAGATCTTTTTCACACATCCTGCTCTCGAGCCAGGCATTCTCCCCCATTCTGTATCTTTGCATTTCGTTTTTCCTGCCAAATGGAGTATCTTGCATTTGTCACTGTTGAACTTCATTTTGTTAGTTTTGGCCCATCTCTCTAATCTGTCAAGATCGTTTTGAATCCTGCTCCTGTCCTCTGGAGTATTGGCTATCCCCCCAATCTGGTGTCGTCTGCAAACTTGATGATCATGCCTTCTAGCCCTTCTAGCCCAGGACAGAACAGGACGGAACCCTGCGGCACTCCGCTCGTCACTTCTTTCCAGGATGAAGAGGAAGCATTAGTGTGCACCCTCTGGGTTCGTCCATTTAACCAATTACAGATCCACCTCACCGTAGTTTTGCCTAGCCCACATTGGACTAGTTTCCTTGCCAGAAGGTCATGGGGGACCTTGTCGAAGGCCTGACTGAAATCCAGGTACGCTACATCC